TATACTCCTACACTGTGAACAACTTCACACTGAGAGAAACGAATTTAGTGCGTTTATGACTGATATTCTTGATGTGGAAACCTATGTTGCCTTTGAATCGCAGGATGAACTCGATATGCTCTCTTTTCTATTTGGAGGTGAAACTGTTTTTAATGATAATGTTGATCAAGGGACATGGGAACGAATCATTTTGCGATGTTCTTTATACATTTACCGAATAAGACGACATCTCCTACAATGTTATACTGATTGATCTCTGCAGATGTATAATGATGTGTGTCCACTTTCGGAAGTTTCTTGTATAAATTAATTGTATACACATGTAACTGTATGTTCTTATGTAAATTGTAACTTTATCTATATCAATATTGTAACTTTCCCCCCTTTCTTGTAGTTACATGTATATAATTTGTTTGATCTTCAGACGATCGTCTGGTGGAAATAAAGGTGCATAAAACTTGATAATATACATAATATAAATAATTATTTTGAACTGACTCGATTAGGAAAATCAAACTATAAGATACGTTTTACAACATGCCACATCCACTATGATGTTTGTATTACTACTACGTGCGTGAAACAATCCTCAAGATGCTTCTTCCTGCAACTGTTACATAGTATGAATATGTTTCCTACCTTAAACCTCCCCATGTCCCAGAGGATATCAAGAATGTCCAACTTGGCTCCTGACAGCGATCTTGTCACTATACCTTCGAAAAGGATTTCTCTGTGTGACATCCGACATACTTTATTTAAACATGTTTCATTCATGAAAATATGCGTCATGAGTGGACAGGCCAACATGCTCCGAAGAGGATTTTGAAGGCCGCTCCCGTAGGCAAAACCATGTCCAAGTAAATACAGAAACAGATGCCACATTCACGAAACCTTTTCGTACAGACATCATGTGTATGCCACAATATTCGGTGGTGCATTTCCTGCCGCAGGTTTCGGTTTTTTCTAGCAGCACGTACTTGCAGTTAAAAGGTGCACGCCTTCCCATTTTTATATATATACATACATAAATATATTTTAGTCTAATTGTTTAGTCAGCACGGTCGCCGCTAGACCCAGCATGACGAAAATCAGTTCCTGGTCTTTCTGTTCCGGGGTTAGTCCGGCGACCACGGCGGCGTGATATGCATCGTTGACGAATGTTTTTCCTTCGGACGACATCGTGTGTGAATATAAAATATATTTTATTTTATTTTAAACAAAAATTATAACATTAACATGCGGATTTATTTCTAATTGCGTCGCCTGCTGCTGTTGCGGTGGTTGTTGTTGCTTGTTATTATATAGCAGCATAACGACGACCATGCTTAATCCCGTTACCACGGCGGCAACAATCCACGGAGTGTAATGGGTATTATTATTTTTGTGGTGCTTGGCTAAACACCTTTTCTACCGGCGGCGACTTTTTTAGGATTCTTGGTGGTGGTGACTAGTCGTATCGGTGTCGTTGCTTCCTCCGGCGGCGTTTCCTCCTCCTGTTGCGCATCCATGTTGGTGTAAAATTCATATTTATCAGCGGTCAAGATTAGGATAATGTATGAATATCGATTCGTTTGTTTGGCAGTAAATATCAAAGTATTTATGAAACATCAAATCGATCAGATTTTATTATGTAATCATGAATGATTTTAAGAATTTGTGTAGATCATTGTTAGTGAGCGAGGCACAGCCTTTTGGCACTGTGTGGATACTTAATTCCTTTAAAAAGAGATTTTAAAAAGGTGATTTTTGTCTTAATTCATGTATTTATTGCATGTGAAGAAATAATGTACGGCATGACAGGAGCGTAAGGCGAGAATGGATAATTTGGCATATTCTTGATCCATAGTTTAGGTCAAAGATAACAGCTTTGTTATGGGGACTGCATAGCGAGTTTTGGAATCGGGATAAGGTATCAATATTTTGAATTTCAGGACTTAGGGAATTCCATGACTTTATTGTATCAGGTAAATATAATCTGGCATCTCTCTACATTTAACTGTTCACGCTGAAAAATGTCTCCTGAGGTTAATAGCATTAGTACTGGGTATTGTAGGTAAGAGATTTTGAGGCGAGAGATTATTCTTCATTTTATAAAATGTTGTCAGCTTAGAAATATATCTACGTTCTTTAAACGGTTTTTGGTTAGTTTCTTCATATATCATGTTGTGGCTTCTTCCTCGAACCGCACCACTTATTGATCGCATGCGTCTAGATTCAATTTTTCTAGTAAAATGGACTGTTCCTGGGTACAGTTGTCTCACATGTGGCCGCAATAATCAAAAATAGGTAAGATGAAAGATTTATAGATACTTTCTAAACTTTTATGCGATAGGCGATATTTCAAACTTCTTAAGCAGTTAATCAATGGACTAACTTTCTTAATCATAGAGTTTATGTGAAGATCCCAGTAACAGTTATTTTGAAGGGGAAAGCCTAGATGCTTGTGATTTTCTACGTCTTGAATTATCACACCGTTCATTGTAAGATCAGGTTTAAATCTTATATTTCTAATAAACTGTATTGATTTCGTTTTGTTAGGATTGAATGAAACCTTCAATTTCTTTGGGTCCAATTTGAAATTCTTAATAGGTCATTATTTAAACAGTCTGCAGCTATGCCGGGGTCATCAATTATAATATATATAGTCGTGTCATCTTCGAAAAGTCTAATATTACTATCAATATCATCCACGATATCATTAATATACGTTATGAACATTAGGGGTCCTAAGACTGATCCTTGACGGTCGCCTGCTAATACATACTTCACCACGCTGTTGCCAACAAGTACTGTAGTCATATTCAGATTAGATGATTTGGAGCAGGCCATCACTAACCAACTTAGCGAGTTTTATAGCGATACATTTGGAGAATGTTGTGTGAGTCACTGGATTTTAATGAAACAATACTTCTCCCACCACTCTCTCATTCCAAGGCGTCTGAGAAATGCCACGACCAGTCTCAGTATCTTTGTGAAATGGCGTGGTGCAAAGGCCAGACTGAAAGGACGGCAAATGAATTGAAAAATCATATCTTTCCATTTGAACCGGAGGTACCTTTCGCACGCATCTTTTAGATCAACTTTGCACATGAAGTCCTTTCTTCTGAGGTCCCGAACCATGAACAAACCCTCCATCTTAACATCCAAATTTTCGAGAACGACATGAATTCTCCCCGCCAAAAGAACATCTGGCGCCAGCTTGGACAAATTCAAACTTGGCATTCCGGCCACCACATTTCCGTTTTTGTGCAGGGTATCTAAATCTAAGAACAGGTTTTCTGGCTGATTTTTTTAGGGGTAAGGAACTTGGTGATACACGTCTTTTGCCTCTCTTGTCCTGGGAAAAACTTCACCTGATGACATGTCCGCCGGTATATCGCCCCTGGAAACCTGTCTGCTTCCCGAGGGCACAGGCCGAAAGGCTTGAACGTGGTGGGTCTGGAATAACTAGCAGACTGTGGATTGTTAGGGTGTGTTTTGGGCTTATGCACGAATTTTAACTTCATCTGAGGGGGCTGAAGCGCACCAGCCACCTCTCTTGCTTCCCTACGATTCTTGCCCTTATCTTCCAAGATTTGCAGAAAACCGTCCCCAAACAATTGGGCCTCGGTGTCATGGAAGATGTTGGCATGTTTTCTCACCAAGGATTTACTCTTCTTGAGATCCTTTGTAAGTTTGTACAATGTAGCTAGTCTCCTATTGTAGTTCAAGGCTACATCAACTTGGCCTGTGCCACGTATCGTTTTCTCAACCAATTCTATCACAAACTCGAAGTCTAACTCAGTAGACTGATCATTACAGGCCTGTTCAAGCAACTTTTATGAGTCTGGACTGAATGGATCTTAGACCCTTGTCCGCTCCTTTTCCATTACCTATCCCATTTTGTTCCATAAGGGATTCAATAATGTCATCCATCTGAGGGGCTTCTAAAACCTTACCCTCTCGTATAGAACATTCTGATTACACACCCTCCATAGTCTTGTCATCTATGAAAGTGGTGAAATGCTTGTTAATGTAGTCCAATTGTCCCTTAGGGAGCCTACAACGTGGGGCATTTGATGTCCCAAGAGGGTCCAAATGTCTAAGTTCTGGTAGGGTGTCCCCCATATTAGAGGTACCCTGCTGTCACCCCTTCTAGCTCTCGTATCGCTCATGAACCAACGTTTTGAGACAGCGTTATCGTCTGAGTCGAACCCACACTCAAGAATCAGAATCTACCGCGGTCGAAACCAACAGTTTCTTACTGGGGTCAGTATTACCTGCCGGTACATTGACCACGTGTTACCCGTCGTTATTTTCCTTATTTTGACACGACAATGGCGGACTAGACATTTTTAATGTCTTATGTTCGTAGATATAATAGAATTACAATAAATATACAAGAAAAGTACTAACCTCCAGGAAAAAAAGAGTAAAACAACCGTGACCTTCACGGATCGACCGGTAATGAAGAATGGCAATTTCTCGCGAGACTTTGAAAAAGCTGGTTTGCGCCACCTGGTGGCGGGGAGTTAACACTTGCGTATCTTGCCAAAGTTTGCGAAATGAAATCAGGTACCGCATCAGTTCATCTGTTCGGTTGTCCTTTCGATTATGCCTTCTTATTTCGAAACTTTGTTTCGCACTTACATGGACACGCACACGCACAAAGATGAAATAATGATCAACCACAAACGAAGAGGTAAGAATTCTTTTCAGCAACCCATGCGTGTCGTCATAGTCATGGACACGCACACGCACACGCACACGCACAAAGATGAAATAATGATCACACACACACGAAGATGTAAGAATTCTTTTCAGCACCCCATGCGTGTCCTCATAGTCGGCTAATGGGGTCGGGTGGTCAGGATCGCCTGCCTTGTTGGCACATGTGATCGTGCACAATGAGACACCTTTTTGGATAATCATAGTTTAGGTTTTCACAAAATAACATTTAATCTAAATGTATCTCAATCATAAGATAATCACACATGATTACCGTGTGGGCCCACCGTTAATACTCGTCTTATGGTGGATGTCGTTCCGCGTTACGACATTTTCACGACCGGTAGTTGTATAACGACCGACGGTAAATGTTAACTTCCTGTCAAACGCCTTCCTCAGGAGACGGAGAACGTCTCTACCTTCTCCGCAATCTGGTAAATAGGCTACACGTGTGGTGCCCTTGTAGAAATCTCCAGGGTTCGGATGATCAGCCTGAGAATATGCAAACATATTACAATAAAAAATACTACAAACTAAAGCATACAGGTTGCGTACAAAGTCTCAGAAATATCAAAGTGTGCGCTATATGCCCACTGGAAGAGGGAGATGTGTGTGTGTGTGTGTGTGTGTGTGTTGGGGGTGGGGGTGGGGTGGTGTGTAGATGATGACTCTCTCTCATTAAACAACAGTGACGTTCCTGGAACACAGTCTTCAGGGTGGTTTTCTCCAACATATAATTAGAATTGATCTTCAGTAACCCATGCTTGTCGTAAGAGGCGACTAATTGGATCGGGTGGTCAGGCTCGCTGACAGGGTTGACACATGTCATCGTATCCCAATTGCGTAGATCGATGTTCATGCTGTTGATGACTGGATTGTCTGGTCCAGACACGATTATTTACAGACCGCCGCCATATAGCTGGAATATTGCTGAGTGCGGCGTAGAACCTAACTCGATCACTCATAAACTCACCCGTTGTGTCCCATTATGGAAGTGGTAGTGGTGCCACAGGTCTCATAGCCAGGTAGGTGCTCCCCACTGAAGGCCACATCCATGATACCCTCCGGCTGGTTCCCTGTCAGGACGCCATAAACCATGTATCGCACTTAGAGATGAGCGTGCTGTCTCTTTAGTGGATGTCCTTTCATGAATAATTCAAGTCCGTCTGCGGGTCCACAACTGTTTATTCAGTGCTACACTTTCAAGCGTAGGCTCGAACTTCTCTGCAGCTTCTCCTCTCAGGCCTATTGCCTGTCCCGTTATATACCCAGGGTTGGTCATTCTTGGTCCTTTGTCTTTGGCCCCCCTTCGCATCTGGTCAGTGATGAGTCAACCTTCTTCGCTCTCCCCATTTGCTCCTAATCCTAATTAGGACTCTAATCATCATTTCTGGACATTAATTATGGCTTTGCCTCATTATCATGACTTAGCCAAAGTGTCCTTTGTCCAGTGTTCCGCTGATCAGGGGCTATAGTTTAATCCCCTGTCCAGTACTATATTTAGGGGACAGCACGTGTGTTCGATTAGCGTGGGATGGCTGGTCATCTATTAGTGACCTCCCTACCCGCTGTCACTCCTATTGGTATTGCCCAGAGACAATGGCATCTCACTGACCAGAGCGAGTGTTTAATTACTTAATTTGCTTAATGAGAGGGGGCCAGCTGGACCTCTAATATTCTACCCTGGATATACTTCCCCGTCGTATCGTAAGGACGTGACCTCACGTCCTTACGTGGAGAATGTGACCAATGACCGTGACCAACCGTGAGGTACAATAATGTTACATGTGAATGGAGATTACAATGTCAATGGAGTACAGTATTTACATGTGATGTACATACAACACATTCACATGGCGAGTGTTATTAAATGATGGACATGATACATTCAAACAAAGACGAGTTATAGTAGCGTTATATAATGTACAAGTTATGATAGAGCACCGTTACCGATTGAATTTAAGTGATGGGCATACATGGAAGTTGTGATATAATGTGGACCCGTATTTGTCACTTTACAAACTAATAACATATATACAGAGCTACAATTACATTCCACTAAGATATAATGCGACCTAACAGAAATATGGTGGTGTGTAAAGTGTTTGCGGAATCCAATGATGTATATGTGACAGACCATCATTGGTGTGTATGGTGTGTCTTCACAATCATGTAGTTGTGTGCGGGCTCGAGACTGTGATGCTGGTAATTATAGGGGTGGTACTGGGAATGTGGGTGGGGGTTGACTTGTACACTGTCAGCATAACTATTATTACTATTTCTAAGCAGTTAAAAGTGAAATCAACTGACAACTAAAAGTAAAACAACTGACCGGATATAATTTAAGGCACAAGGTATAGGTCCATCATAGTCAATCACAGGCGCTCTTTAAAGTGCTCTCTGTGCACTCATTCATCCTAGTCACTACTAAACACATCCTTTGTGTTACCTACTCTCCTACTCACATCGCCTGTATCAAACTAATCCTCTAAATGACGTCATCTTTAACTACACAAATTTTCCTTAGGTCAGCTGGCCCTATACTACCGGGACTTGTGGGGGAGTAAATGGTCGCTCTAAACACTCTCCCATGGATATCGAGCACGCCTGTGGACCCACCCGTGATCAAGAGACAGGTAGGCGGTGGAATCCATCAGCTAACCCTGCCGCAGAGCGACAAACACCTGGTGCCTCTCCAGGGTCCTCCGACAATGGCGTGATGGCTCTTTTGTCTGTGGTTGCCCTGTACCTGGTTCCGACAGCTGACACCTCCTCCTCTCTTCACTACTCTACTACTTCCTTCAACCAGGGATACTCTACAACCTTATATAGTCTCCCTGCTTCAACATACTACAACTACTGGTGTCTCTCCAGGGTCCCCAGACAATGGCGTGATGGCTCTTTTGTCTGCGGTTGCCCTGTACCTGGTTCCGACAGCTGACACCTCCTCCTCTCTTCACTACTCTACTACTTCCTTCAACCAGGGATACTCTACAACCTTATATAGTCTCCCTGCTTCAACATACTACAACTACTGGTGTCCTCCAGGGTCCCCAGACAATGGCGTGATGGCTCTTTTGTCTGCGGTTGCCCTGTACCTGATTCCGACAGCTGACACCACCTCTACCTCAACATACATACTCTTTCATAACCCTTATACGTCAATCCTTTCTCATTTGTCACTCATTCAGGGTTCATGCCGTGAGTTTTAACTCTGCACATGTTCCCTTCTTCCTTTCATGGCCACTGAAGTACTCATGTAGGCATGTTATAAATATATGAAACAAAATTCTGTCAGATGTCCAACTACTCGGTATATACATGACGTACAATATTTCATGTCTGATATATACAACACCATGTTTTATTATGTACATTGTCCCTGCCGATCAACCGGAGAGAGGGGGAGTACCCTGGAATTAGAGAAGATAAAGTGGACTCGGTCGGGGACAACAGTACTGACAAGGGTGATGGGAGGCGAAGGAAATTACCCGCAACTCTTACAACAATCTAGTCTGGGAAAGGCCCGTGCGTGATTATCTTCCTAAAGTATGACAGGATGACGGGGGTTTAAGAGATATGTGAGTGGGGGCCGATATTTGGAAGGGCGATGGTGGTCATGGTTGGTCAAATATGACCACAAGGTCTTTTGGCCAAGGGCTTGATATAACGGGATGGATAATTTGTCGACTATATGGCCGCAGCGAATAGGCAGAATGATAGCATGATTAAGTGTTCTATGCACTTCATTACTATACGGGTATCAGACATTACTTGGATTTGAAATCAATCAAGCCTTGAGTTGCGGCGCTTATAATAGTCCTAATGCTTGCCAAAACAGGAATTAATAATTTATATTATTTTGGGGTAATGCATCTGACAAACAAAGCATATTATTTGAAATGGAATTAACCTGGAATTAGTTGATGAGAATACGTATCTTGGTGTTCATTTTCAACAAAAATGATAAATTCAGCAAATCAGTGTAAAATTGCGGAATCAATAACTAAAGTCATGTATATATTGAAACGTAAGGCACGCACAGTGCGCTTAACTGAACAGAACATGATATGAATTGGTAAACATGGACCACATGTCTGCAACTTCAGCAATATGTTCAACATATGAAATCTTCAAAACTGGCAATAAGGTGGAATCCTATTTATCAGATATTCCTTTTTCTTATCGCACTTAGAGATGAGCGTGCTGTCTCTCTAGTGGATGTCCTTTCATGAATAACTCAAGTCCGTCTGAGGGTCCACAACTGTTTATTCAGTGCTACACTTTCAAGCGTAGGCTCGAACTTCTCTGCAGCTTCTCCTCTCAGGCCTATTGCCTGTCCCGTTATATACCCAGGTTGGTCATTCTTGGTCCTTTGTCTTTGGCCCCTTTCGCATCTGGTCAGTGATGAGTCAACCTTCTTCGCTCTCCCCATTTGCTCTTAATCCTAATTAGGACTCTAATCATCATATCTGGAGGTGTCCTCCCATTTATGAGAACTCCCAGTTGTGAGACACATTAATTAATGGTTCAGTGCACATAGGTGGTGTTTCCACATCCCTACAATGAAAGTGGGATCAGCCCAGCCCAGTACCTCCTGTCACTCCTATGGGTATTGCCCAGAGACAATGGCATCTCACTGACCAGAGCAAGTGTTTAATTACTTAATTTGCTTAATGAGAGGGCCAGCTGGACTCCTAATATTCTACCCTTGATACATGTTACAACTGGGGCACACCGGTTTGTAACGGGCAAAAAGTCTGTTGATACAGTCTGTGCAGAACACGTGTCCACATCTCTGCAAGGTCTTTGGGTTTGATATTCCTTCAAGGCAAATGATACAATACTGAGGTGTTGGTTTGTTCTTAGTCACCTTTTCATTCGTGTGGGAGATACTTAACTTTGCCATTGACAGGGTAAGGTCGTCATGGTCTGTGTTGGTGTACTTCCCAGACCTACTTTCATTACCTTTCGAATGTGTTCCAGTTCGATCTGATGCCCTGTCTGTTGCCCTTTTCTCTTTACATTGATGTCTCTTTCTATATTCACTTGGCACCTGATCATCATCATCAGCAGCAGCAGCAGCATCACCTCCGCCACAATCATCAGCGTGGTCATCTTCTTCATAACTACATCCTGCAGGAACGGGTCTCTTTTGTTTCACCTCGTCGTCACTGCCACCGCCACCGACGTCGTCGTAATTGTCATCATCATCGTCATCCTGACCATTATGCTTTGCCTTGTTTGAGACCTTTGGTTTGGCCCCGCCACTGAAATCGTCAGTTTGTTGTCCTGGTGGTAATTCCCGTCCACTACGGAGTACCAATCCACGCTGATGGACACCACAATCAACGATGCCCTTGCTGTGATCTGATCTGCCAACCACCTGTTTCGCACGGCATGAATTATTGCTATCAGTGTCTGCATTAAGCTTAGGTTTGGGCAGAGATCGAGGATTCGACGATCCATTCTTTCTTCCTGTATTTGAGTGTGAATGTGGTGGCTCAAGAGCCTTTCCACCTTTCTTATTGCACATGTAGGCGCACTGAGCTGCCAACATGTCTACGATGTCTTCCCGGTGTGACACGAGCAACACCTTGACGAGAGATGTTTTCTTATAAGAAAACATAGCTTGGACTGCCACCTGAACAGCCTCTGCTGGGTTCACGTTGCCTTTACCTGAACAAACGATTAGACAATTCAAAGACTGGCTTTAGTAAACCTTTGACAGACATATGTACATCAGAAAATGTTGCAGTCCTGAGTGATGGAACTTGGTGAATACACAGTATATGTCAAATCATACGTAGATTATATAACATTGACTCTCCAATCGGGCGGTGGGGTAGCCTAGTGGTTAAAGCGTTGGCTCGTCACGCAGAAGACCCGGGTTCGATTCCCCACATGGGTACAATGTGTGAAGCCTATTTCTGGTGTTCCCCGCCCATTTTGCTGGTATATTGCTAAAAGTGGGGTATACCTCAACTCACTCACTCTACTGCACTGTCAGCCTCCAATGTGTGCAATGCGGTGTGAATATGGCAACAAACCTTATGTAACGTGCAAGCATGATACTTGTGTGTGTTTGTTGTTTAACGCCGCACTCTACAATATTCCAGCTATATGGCGGTACCAGTGATCACAGGGTTGAAGCGCTGTCCACGCGAAATGTGGAGTTGCCCCAAAAGCAACTCTATTTCCTCGCTGGACAGTGAAAGAAGAACATGTAGCGCAAGCGTATTGCTGGAATATTGCTAAAAGCGGCTTAAACCATACTCACTCACTCACTCACTGTCCAATCATTAAGGGCATGACATTTAGATGTGGCTTTTAGAAAGTTTAACCAAATTAGTTGATTAATTGCACAGTACAAGTTATGTAACCTAAATTGGAAAACGCTATCCTTCAGATGTATGTGTACGACTGCAGCGCAGTTGGTTATATACTTTAAGTAACAAATCGGGCGGTGGGGTAGCCTAGTGGTTAAAGCATTGGCTCGTCACGCCGAAGACCCGGGTTCGAATCCCCATATGGGTACAATGTGTGAAGCCCATATCTGGTGTTCCCCGCCGTGATGTTGCTGGAATATTGCTAAAAGCGGCATAAAACCAAACTCTCAGTCAGTAACAAATCAGTATCATTACTTCCTTTCAGTGATTCATAAATACTTATGATACAGTTGAAATCGTACTATGGAAATTGTTGTCAAAATTAAATTATTTATCAAAGAGATTTCTGAAGGTTAAGGAAATGGTCTTATCCCGCTTTTTACCTCACACTTACATGTTACGCGAGCACACGTAGTGTTATACAAATGCTTTACGACATCAAATTAACAAATTTGAAGATTAGATATGTAAGTTATTGTTCGAGACGGTCAGTTGCGATAGAAAACGGAAATGGACGGAACTATATCATCATATCCCCATACTTCTCAGATGACTTACCAGAGCCAAGTAAAGGTACCGCCAGGATAGGGACACCTTTGTCCTCAGCTTTAGAGAGTATTTTCTTGTATAACCAGATCATCTTCACCTTCCACTCGTCAATAGTTTGTTTTTTTCCTCGGGGTAGGACAATGGCATGAATCACTGACTTGAACTTCCCGCAATCCCCCGTCGTGTACGCCGTCCATGGTTGGAAATGACCTCTTTCTTTAATTATTAAATTGTTGCGATTCAAGTCAAATTCTGAGTACATTCTAAGAAGAGTTGCTGTAACGTATCCCATGTCTGTAAAACGTGGCCCTTCGCTGACAACGATGCCATCTGCATATGCCTTTGTAACATCGCCAACGTAGGTGACTATGTACAACCCAGACTGAGATTCATAGCTGTTTCCCGCAATCTGAGAAGCCGCCGCAGCCATGTTGTCTGTGGATGGAACACATTGATACCAAACTTAAACTCCACAACTTTTGATTCTACCCTAATCTAGGTTTACATTGAAGCTCAAGGAAATTATGCAATTTGATATGTGAATTATATGTTATTGAATACGCACGGGTGCATGGATTATGGATTATGCGTCATAGAATGTTAATTGATACGTGCATATTCTATGCAAGAATGTGGATAAATTGATATGATATTTTGTGTTTTCGATATGTAGATTCTCGTTTATAGGATGTGAGGATTTTCTGTTACTGAATACGGTTAGATATGCTTTTTGTTATCATGGAATGTGGATGGATGTGAATACAAATTCACCAGGACAGAGTAATACCCAATATGTGTGAATTCTCTATGACACATGTGGCCTGATATGCAACGATTCTGGTATTGAAAGCGGATTGTTATGTGGGTTCACTGTCGTCCTGTGTGGATGGACATGAAACTGTAGTCTGGTATTCCGCAGTCTCCGGGCATCCAATTATTTCATTTTCAGCGTCATGGCACTGTGTTTTGAATCCTTGCAGCCAACAGTGGCTTCTAACGGTTGCAATGCCAATATGGAATCAGAATAGATTACCTGGATTCTCCGAAATAGAATATAAATGGATATAGACTAATGCTTAGTCTCTCTGAATATGTATAATTATGATTGAAACAAATAAACCCATTTAAATTGTAAAGGAGCCCTAGGGAGACCAGAGAAGCTGCGGAAATCTAGACTTGCTTCATTTGGGATTTAGCATTGCAGGGAAGGCTAAGCTGTAGGGAACAAATGTGGTTCAGGGACTGTTAGACAGATTAAAATGGATATTGAATTCACCTTTATTGAATATGGATTGTCTATCATGTTACAAAAAGTGAAACGTTACGTTTGAGAAAGGTTAGCCTATCAATTGTTTCTGAAAGATCACATAGAATGTTAAATATCGTTTACCATCGCCAGATCACAGTGTTAGGAACTTAGTCATTCGTTTTATTCAAAATACTTTTTGGTGGTATAGATATGTGCATATCTTATCGACTGAGAACACAGTTGAATCTGTCGGCTCGTGCATAACAAATAGCCTAGCTCTGAGCCTTACTTATCAGTTGTTACAGAACATTTTGTGAAAAATTTGAAACATAGAAATAGGTCTTTGGGGTTGAAATTATGTCATGTCAGTCGCCTTAGTCTGGTGGAATATGTTCCAAACCAGTCGCAAGTGTTTAATCTTAACAATACACAGCACAGGTCTTACAATGTTATGACTAGACATTTATCAATCGTTGGCATGTCAAGACAACACACTGATGGGACTGCACAGTTCTGATTTCAGAAGCAGCAGACGAAATCAAAAGGACAGTGTGTGGATGTGGATGACACACAGTGTGTGGATGGACACACAGTGTGTGGAAGGATGTCAATAACACAGTGTGTGGATGTGTATGACACACAGTGTGTGGAAGGGTGTCAATAACACAGTGTGTGGATGTGTATGACACACAGTGTATGGATGTGTATGACACACAGTGTGCGGAAGGATGTCAATCACACATTGTGTGGAAGGGTGTCAATAACACAGTGTGTGGATCTGTATGACACATAGAGTGTGGAAGGGTGTCAATAACACGGTGTGTGGATGTGTATGACACATAGTGTGTGGAGGTGGAGTGTGTGGATATGGACACACAGTGTCAATAACACAGTCTGTGGATGTGTATGACACACAGTGTGTGGAAGGATGTCAATAACACAGTCTGTGGATGTGTATGACACACAGTGTGTGGAAGGATGTCAATAACACAGTGTGTGGATGTGTATGACACACAGTGTGTGGAAGGATGTCAATAACACAGTGTGTGGATGTGTATGACACACAGTGTGGAAGGTGTCAATAACACATGTGTATGACACACAGTGTGTGGAAGGGTGTCAATAACACAGTGTGTGGATGTAGACACACAGTGTGTGGAAGGCTGTCAATAACACAGTGTGTGGATGTGTATGACACACAGTGTGTGGAAGGATGTCAATAACACAGTGTGTGGATGTGTATGACACACAGTGTGTGGAAGGATGTCAATAACACAGTGTGTGGATGTGTATGAAACACAGTGTGTGGAAGGGTGTCAACACACAGTGGAAGGATGTCAATAACACAGTGTGTGGATGTATGACACACACAGTGTGGAACACAAGGATGTCAACACACACAGTGTGTGGATGTGTATGACACACAGTGGACAGGATGTCAATACACACAGTGGTGTGTCAACACACAGTGTGGATGTGTATGACACACATGAGTGTGGAAGGACACCACAACACAGTGTGAACACATGTGTATGACACACAGTGTGACAGGGGACACAATAACACAGTGGAAGGATGTCAATAACACAGTGTGTGGAAGGATGGACACACAGTGTGTGGAAGGATGTCACACAACACATGTGTGGACACAGTGTGGAAGGCCATAACAGTGTGTGGATGTGTATGACACACAGTGGACACACACAGGAAACACAGTGTGTGGAAGGATGTCAATGGAACAACACAACAGTGGAAGGATGACACACAGTGTGTGGAAGGATGTGACACACAGTGTGTGGAGTGGAGGTGTCAATAACACAGTGTGTGGATGTGATGACACACAGTGTGTGGAAGGATGTCAATAACACAGTGTGTGGATGTGACATGGACACACAGTGGTGGAAGGATGTCAACGACACAGTGTGTGGAAGGTGTGCACTGTGACACACAGTGTGGACCCACACACAGTGGAAGGACACACACACAGTGGAAGGACACAATGACACAGTGTGTGGTGGATGGAATGAATAATGGACACACAGTGTGTGGAAGGACACACAGTGGAAGGAATGGACACACACACAGTGGAAGGAACAGGTGTGTGGAAGTAATGTCAATACACACACAGTGTGGACAGTGGACAAACAACACACAGTGTGGTGTAAGGACACAAAGTGGTGGAACACACACAGTGGACACAGATGGAAGGTGTGGAAGGTGAATCTCAAGGAACACAGTGGATGGATGTGGTAGGACAACACACAAGGAGGACACACACAGTGGTGGAAGGACACAACACAATGGAATGGACATGTGGACAGTGTGGAAGGACAAACACACACACAGTGGACACACACACAAGGACACATGACACACACAGACAGTGGACACACACACATGGACACACAGTGGACACACACACAGACACACACAGGACACACACACACACACACAGGACACACACACACACACACACACAAGGACACACACACACACAGTGGACACACACACAGACAGGACACACACACACACACACACAGACACACACACACACACAGGACACACACAGGACACACACACAGGACACAGGAGACACACAGGACACACACACACACACACACACAGGACACACACAGACACACACACACAAGGACACACACACACACACAGGACACACACACACACACACACAGACACACACAGACACACACACACACACACACAGGACACACACAGGACACACACACACAGACACACACAGGACACACACACACAGGACACACACAGAGACACACACACACACACACAGACACACACACAGACACACACACACACACACACACACACACACACACACACACAGGACACACACACACACACACACACACAGGACAGACACACACACTGGACAGACACACACAGGACACACACACACACAGGACACAGACACACACACAGGACACACACACACACACACACAGACACACACAGACAGGACACACACACACACACACACACACACACACACACACACACACAGGACACACACAGGAACACACACAGACACACACACACAGGAGACACACACACACACACACACACACACACAGACACACACACACAGACACACACACACACACAGGACACACACACAGACACAGTGGAGGACAAGGACACACACACAGACACATGGACACATGGACACACAGGACACACACAGTGGACACACACACAGGAAGGACAGACACACAGACATGGACACAGGACACAGACACACACACACAGTGGACACACAGACACAGGACACACAGACACACACAGTGGACACACAGTGGACATGGACACACAGGACACACAGTGGAAGGACACATAATGGAAGAACAAAGGACACACAGAGGTAAAGGACATACAGTGTATTTGGGAGGTAAGGAACATACAGTGTATTGGGGAGGTAAGGGTGGATACAGTGTATTGGGTATTGGGGAGGTACAGTGACATGGGAGGTAAGTGTACAGTGTATTGGGAGGTAAGGACATACAGTGTATTGGGGAGGTAAGTGACATACAGTGTGTATTGGGGAGGTAAGTGACATACAGTGGTATTGCGGAGGGTCGTAACATACAGTGATATCAATGACAGATATAAATTACACTTTTCACTGATGTCAATGACACGGACCTGTGTCTGGTGAAGCTTCCATGAACAGGGAGTATAGAGCGTTTCAGCGAGGTGAATGACGAAGCGTTTGAGGTGCATGCGTTGGCCTTTACTGTCAGGTACTATATCACATATATGGCAAGTCTTCTCTGTTTGGAAGCTGTTCGCCTCGAGGTGTCAAATATCGATTTTAGGCAAGCTGTAAGGGATAATATGTCTTTTATTGAATCAATAGGAAGCTAAAGTGAGTGCATATGCCCTTATATATAACATAGGCCAAAATATTGCCGAAAATGTGTGACTTTGTGCGTTTAAGAATACTATGGTGGTGTTAGTGTCTTGGATATGGCAATCACACCACCGCTATTGAACCTATTCTCTTTATCGTATTACTACCAGCTGTTACCAATTGTTTATATTTCTATTATAAGGTCGTGTTACTTACATAATGTCCCAACCGTGACCTGTACAGTACCTGGTTCCGTGCCTATGACCAGACCCAGCCGTCCGTCTCCTCCCGTCAGAACGAAGTCACAGAATTCCAAGCTAAAGCGAAAGAGAAAGTAGAAAACCACGAACCCGGATGAAAGTAGAGAACTGTGCCGTGTGCACTTGTGCTGTGGTTGAGGTAATATAAGGAAGGCGGCGTTTCAGTTTGTAAACTTGATGGCACTCTCTCTTTCACTCTTAAGTAAACTGTGTATGCTATTTAGCTTCTCACGAATAATGTAATTATATTTCATGAGGGGAGTCAGTGTGATTTTTTTATTATATGCTTTTATTGTATGATTATTGTTATTATTTTTTTATCAAAATTATTCCATACTAAACACCGGTGCTTATGGAATTCACGCAGTGGTAAAGACTGTCCCATTTTCCCATCACGTTATATTGGCACGCTCTGATACAACCGAAATAATGTTCAGCTAAATCTATACCTCAGCTCACTCATTCCTCTAAAATGAAAATATGAAAAGACAAATGGATATACGATCATAAATCGGGCCGATTGTGCATAACGCACTCCCATATCTCAGCAACAACAATGATTGAGTGGTGACTTTGGCAAGGGAGGCAACTCTTCAAGGCATATTGTTCCATAGCTGAATTCCACACCACCACCATATGATCAACGTGCTTTATGGACCTCTACTATAGCTGGAATTGCTACTCTTCCTTTTGTTCCTACAGATGCCTACAGATGCCTACATATACTACGATAGGTACTATTGGTGACTGTAACGGGAATGGGACGGGTGGCCAGGCTCGGCCATTTGGTTCATTGCCTGGCACCATGGTTTTCATTTGGACAAAATAATGAACTTGATTTGACATTCTCAGTAACGAAGGAAAGCATGAAACTCGAGAACGGGTGAATATGGTTGTATGCAATATCCATGCAATATCGCGGCAGTGAATAAGTCAAAACAGGGAAGTGCATCGAACATCATCTTACGCGTTGAAATTTGTCAAATACTTTGTCAAATACTGTGTGCTTTACAAAGGACTTGCATGTTGTAGCCCTGATGAAACAACAGTTTGAGGAAGATCTTCGTTGACAAAAGTATTATTTATTGTACCGTAGAGTTATGAGTTAGGCAGCCAAACTTGCTGCTGGAATATTGCTGAAAATATTTGAATTTTAATCCTGGAAAGTTGAGGTCTTGTCATTCAGTGCCGGAGATCATGTAAGAAGATACAGATAGGATGAGGAGATTTAACCTTTTATTTCTCTTTCAGGTGGGTAAAACAAAGCAGTTTGGTATTGGACCATTACTGAACGATATCAATTCATTGATAAATCTAAAGAATAAGTTAAATATCTTCGACAAATTCCCGTTTAAGATTTTGCAAATTCCAGCAGAAAATCATTTTCGTAAACTTAAAACAACAGACTGGCAAGGAGGGTGCCAACATTTGATCCCCATTGCTAACATCAAAATAACGGTGTACCACATTTTAATAAGTCAAAACAGAAACAAAATAAGCTTAAAACGAAGGGAATTTCCCCATTAACTAAATGTTAATGCAAGTACTATCTTCCTTATAGTGGAATATGCGAGACACAGGCATTTCATGTTTATTTCCATGTTTGTCGGTATGCATGTATAGTCTGTCTCCGGTGTAAACGTACCGATGAATTTCATTTTAAACAAAAAAGTAAATAAAAAAACAGTTTGTTGACATGTGATTGTCCAGCTACACTCATTATGACTTTTAGCGAAACAAAATATGTTTACGTATCCATTTCCTGTCAACTACACTTCGAGGCGTGAGTAGACAAAATATGATAGTGATCGCTGTGAATAAAGAGGGTCGAAGTTATAAATATCGGGGGACACACGATTTCACTGCAGCTAGCAGAAACATTCTGTTTTAACATTTTGAGTAAAATTACAGTCTCGTTGACAGTGATCGTTATGATCTTAAAAAGAAAACCAACACAGGTTCCCACGTAAGGGGTCAGTAAAATGTATATTTGAACATCCTTCCATTTTACATCTAAGACAGAAACTGCCAGCTGTCTTGTGGTCTGAGTTGGCCGTGATTAGGACCCCAACCGAAGTAAGGGAGTTGTTTTACAACGGTCGGTCAGCTAAGCCCGGATTACAAAGCATTGTTCTCATAGCAAGTTGATTGTTGGGACTGTTATTTTAGTCCGTAATCCGCAATTGAGAGAGTCCGGATTATAAAGCAAGCTTTAATGATAAATTAAGTACAATTTTGCCGGGACTCCGAGAGTAGTCCGGATTTTACAGATTCCACTGTAAGTGAAATTAAGATAATTTGACCTTGCCTAATGATCATTTAAATCTCAAAATTGTATTCAACTTAGGATCACAGTTGTTTAACAAACGATCATAGATTCAAATCTCTATTATTGCTTGTATTACAATGGGGTAAGCGCAGTAGATGGAACAGTGAAACAAATGCGCGTGCGGTACGTGATGAGCGTTAACTTAGCCCAAACCTACTTGTTCTCGTGTTTCATTTCATGTGCATACCCCGTTGTAATGTTCAATTGGCAAGGTAAAGTTATGAGGATTCGCAATCTTAATTTCACTTTATTCGATTTACTTTTTTGTTTAGAGTGAAATTCATCGGTACGTTTTCACTGCAAACAGACTATAACTCAGCACAAGCAACCCCTCGATTTGTACTTGTCGGAAATACCTTCCGGGAAGTCCATACTTTAATTCAGGAGGGTTATTGTTAATGTTGGAGACAGTAGTTTGTACGGAGCTTGAGAACTGCAAACCCTTTAACAGTGTCATGTTGACGTAAAATAATTCACTGTTCATTATAAACCCAAAACAGTACTTTTCGGAAGCAGGGGGAGACATTCGTCTTCACGACACAAGTAATGGTAGCTCAACTAGTTTATGTTTCATTGAGAGACGCCGGAAAATCGCAAAAAAGAACAGTGGAAAGGTTTGATATTCTGTGAAGAGGTGTAGTGCTCGGATGTGCTCGTTGTAGACTCAGGACGTGTACCTGAACTTAGTGTCAGCGCTTACTTCGGGAAAGAAAGTTTGTTTTCCTCTCCTGTTCCTCCCAGACTCAACTATCAATTAACGTTGAATCAGGAATGACATAAATAGGGGAGACCGGGGTGAATTGTCACACTTTTTACTTAACTTCTTGTAATTCGATATTACTCGACCGTTCACAAAGTTAATCGGTACTAACTAGTACATTGGCATCTTGGCTTTATACCTGTGTCGTTTTACTATCATGTCGTTACAAAGTTATTACGTATCAAATGCAATGGCTGCAAGTGTTAGAACTGACACCAAGCACGGGGCAATTGTAACAGGTGGATGGGGTAGTTGTAACAAAGAAGGTACTAATGTAACGATCTGTTTATTTTCCAGATAGAATCAAAATAATAAAGATGCTATCTTGATGATTTGAGGTGGAAATGGATTAACATCAAACCTTTGTCACATCGACATTTAAAATGTGTTTGGTTTATAATTCTTCTTTTCGTATGCCTAAAATGTAATTACAAAGAGTAACCAACACCAAAACTGTCACCCGAGGGCTAATACTATCAACATAACACTGAAAAGGTTATACTATGATAAAACTAGTAAAGAACTAACATAAAACCATCATCATAGTTTTCTTCATAGTTATAGCACAAGGAAAACTTACATGGGGGCAATTGTAAGACAGTGTTACAATTGCCCCAGATGGTGGTAGTTATGTTTAATGCCACGTCACATGTTAACCACTTTGGGCTTCTCAAACATTTCTACTTCAAAATATGTCGTAATACCTCAATTTTACACTTGAAAAGTTAATTTCACACCAAGCAACATTTACTGCTTTAGAACGTTTAATTACGTTTTGTGAAAAATTTACTTACCTATGTTAAAAACGATTTTTCGTCAACTGTATCTCGCCATGAGCGAGCAGTTGAAAAACGCCTGGATGTGTACCGCAGCAACAAAAAGGGAAATAACTCTACTCACCTACACTATGCTCGAGCGAAAACTTTTAGAGTCATTGCCCTTGTTATAATTGCCCCCTAAGTACCCGATCGCAGCTTACAGAATTTTCGGACTTGCGAATCAATTTTGGCCTGTCTGAAGTGTAATTCACCCAGTACATAATGGAGAGCGCCATTGCTGAAAACTTTGTTTGTCACCGGAAGTCACGAAATCTCGCGATGCGCAGGATTCACTTACACGCCCTATTGCCCCCGGTCTCCCCTACACACGAAGTTTGTTTTTTTTCGCCGCTTTCAGCAATAATCAAATAATATCACGGATGCCGATGGTGTGTTTGTTTCTGGGCCACTTGATTATTTTAATATCTTTCAAACTACGGAGCAGGCGTTCATCACTCCAACCGACCCCAGCCATTGTCTAGAAAACTCGAGTTGATAGACGGTCTTCTCGGTGAGGGGAAGGCCGGTGGTTCCATCCCGAGTTGCGTCATACGGTAAAAGATGGTACACACGCACGCACTACGCACGCACTACGCACGCACATACACACATTCACGTTGCTGTGTAAGTGCAATATTCTTGAACACGACCTTGTTGCGGTAGAACTCGACGGCTAAGCGACCTCACGGGCAGCATGAGGTGTGTACTCCCCAGGGAGCTGAAAATGGCAATCGTTTGCACACTGATCCATTAACCGGTTTGACCAGGGTAATAAAAGAACGCTTGAGCTTTATCTTAAATATGGTCGGTTTGTTGTTGTTGTCTTTACTATTGATATTCCCTATTTTAACTCATATCATCAGATAACAAGATACAACACATGCTGGTAATACCTCATACACCCACACATTAAAACAGCACGGTACTTTGTCGGTAGTGTCATAGAGCCAGACGATGCGGGCGCTTTCTCCGTGTTGATTTTGTCAGTGGACACGCTACCATCAACGACAAAAACGAATGCGCTTGAAGAACATATATTTGTTAATTAAAATACATTAACGTTTATGACTTGAGATCCTATTCTGTGACTCCCTTCCTGGCGAGATCCTCCTTGACCCGTGTCAGATACGTCTCATCTGGGTAGCCGAACCTGCATGACAATATGGCGGTCAGTTCACACAACATGCCACTAGGGCTGCGCAATATAACCGGTTTACCGGTATTTACCGGTTCAGACATGGAAACGATACGTATTGCGATACGCTGATCGAAAACCGGTATTTTGACATGCATTCGGAAAACTTCGTAACACTCGGAAATCTTCGGATATTTCCGTTTTTAAATTGTTCCTTTCCTTGTTTCATTTGTGCCAAACATTATTTACATTTATATTTTGCCATGATTAAAAGTTTTATTAAAGCCTAATCAAGCATTGTGATTTTGTTGTGTTTTTGCTTTACAAATCAAGCATTAACTCGATTATAAGTATCTTTTTTGTTAAAAATAATTCTTGCAATATATTGCAATACATATCGCAATACATGCTTTCGCATCGCAATATATCGCAATACGAAAATTCCCTGCAATACCCACCCCTACATGCCACACAAAAACACACATTGTTTTCCTTTGTGAAACAACACATGATTCTCTAATGGCTTGAGAGGAAACAGATAGCAAACTGAAAACCCCTTATACATGCCTGGTCGCCCTTCCTGTAATGCTGGTCAAATGGTGGATGTCGTCCCTTCATACATACCTGGTCGCCCCGCTCTTCATGTTGGCCCATTTCTCGCCGCCGTGATATTGCTGGAAATGTTGTGTTGTCCTTCATACGTACCTGATCGCCCCGCCCTTAATGTTGGTATAATGATGAATGTCGTCCCTTCATACATACCTGGTCGCCCTGCCCTTCATGCTGGTCTAATGGTGAATGTTGTCCCTTCATACATACCTGATCGCCCTGCCCTTCATGTTGGTCTAATGGTGAATGTCGTCCCTTCATACATACCTGGTCGCCCTGCCCTTCATGTTGGTATAATGGTGAATGTTGTCCCTTCATACATACCTGGTCGCCCCGCCCTTCATGCTGGTCTAATGATGAATGTTGTCCCTTCATACATACCTGGTCGCCCCGCCCTTCATGTTGGTCTAATGATGAATGTTGTCCCTTCATACATACCTGATCGCCCCGCCCTTAATGTTGGTATAATGATGAATGTCGTCCCTTCATACATACCTGGTCGCCCTGCCCTTCATGCTGGTCTAATGATGAATGTCGTCCCTTCATACATACCTGGTCGCCCCGCCCTTCATGCTGGTCTAATGGTGAATGTTGTCCCTTCATACATACCTGGTCGCCCCGCCCTTCATGCTGGTCTAATGATGAATGTCGTCCCTTCATACATACCTGGTCGCCCCGCCCTTCATGTTGGTATAATGATGAATGTTGTCCCTTCATACATACCTGATCGCCCCGCCCTTAATGTTGGTATAATGATGAATGTCGTCCCTTCATACATACCTGGTCGCCCTGCCCTTCATGCTGGTCTAATGATGAATGTCGTCCCTTCATACATACCTGGTCGCCCCGCCCTTCATGCTTGGTCTAATGGTGAATGTTGTCCCTTCATACATACCTGGTCGCCCCGCCCTTCATGCTGGTCTAATGGTGAATGTTGTCCCTTCATACATACCTGGTCGCCCCGCCCTTCATGTTGGTCTAATGGTGAATGTCGTCCCTTCATACATACCTGGTCGCCCCGCCCTTCATGTTGGTCTAATGATGGATGTCGTCCCTTCATACATACCTGGTCGCCCCGCCCTTCATGTTGGTCTCTAATGATGAATGTCGTCCTTCATACATACCTGGTCGCCCCGCCCTTCATGTTGGTCTAATGATGAATGTCGTCCCTTCATACATACCTGGTCGCCCTGCCCTTCATGTTGGTCTAATGATGAATGTCGTCCCTTCATACATACCTGGTCGCCCTGCCCTTCATGTTGGTCTAATGATGAATGTCGTCCCTTCATACATACCTGGTCGCCCCGCCCTTCATGCTGGTCTAATGATGAATGTCGTCCCTTCATACATACCTGGTCGCCCCGCCATTCATGTTGGTCTAATGGTGAATGTTGTCCCTTCATACATACCTGGTCGCCCCGCCCTTCATGCTGGTCTAATGATGAATGTTGTCCCTTCATACATACCTGGTCGCCCCGCCCTTCATGTTGGTATAATGATGAATGTTGTCCCTTCATACATACCTGGTCGCCCCGCCCTTAATGTTGGTATAATGATGAATGTCGTCCCTTCATACATACCTGGTCGCCCCGCCCTTCATGCTGGTCTAATGATGAATGTCGTCCCTTCATACATACCTGGTCGCCCGCCCTTCATGCTGGTCTAATGATGAATGTTGTCCCTTCATACATACCTGGTCGCCCCGCCCTTCATGCTGGTCTAATGATGAATGTTGTCCCTTCATACATACCTGGTCGCCCTGCCCTTCATGTTGGTCTAATGATGAATGTCGTCCCTTCATACATACCTGGTCGCCCCGCCCTTCATGCTGGTCTAATGATGAATGTCGTCCCTTCATACATACCTGGTCGCCCTGCCCTTCATGTTGGTCTAATGATTGGTCTAATGATGGAATGAATGTTGTCCCTTCATACATACCTGGTCGCCCTGCCCTTCATGTTGGTCTAATGATGAATGTTGTCCCTTCATACATACCTGGTCGCCCCGCCCTTCATGTTGGTCTAATGGTGAATGTCGTCCCTTCATACATACCTGGTCGCCCCGCCCTTCATGTTGGTCTAATGGTGAATGTCGTCCCTTCATACATACCTGGTCGCCCCGCCCTTCATGTTGGTCTTGTGATGAATGTCGCCCCACGTCACCACATAACTCTGGTCCGATGAGGTCGCACGAACGATCGTGAATATCAACTTCCGTTTAAATGCGATTCTTAAAAGTCTCAGAATTCCCATTCCTTTAGTCGAGTTCGGTAGGTAGGCTTTCCGAGTCAACCCTGTGTATGGCTCGCCCGGGTCAGGGTGTGCAGGCTGTGGGTACAAGGTGAAGGTCGATGACGTTAAACATTTAATATATATGTTGCCTCAGCTGATAGCAAAAACTAGAAATTCGCGCTTATTGCAATATCATAAATCATGTTGCCACGTAGCTGCCAGTGAAGATTTGAAATACCCTCTATTTAATGTCACGTTAAGTTTTCTTTTGTTTGTTGTTTAACGCCGCACTCAGCAATACTGCATATACTAGTATATGGCGGCAGTCTGTATATAATCGCGTCTGGTGTTTTAGTTGGTAATTTTCTAAGACGAGCATCATTAACAATTCACGTCACATTAAGACGCAATACCATGACATATCTGAAATATTCTTCGAAATGATGTTTCTACACTCGATGACTCACTCACTCTGAAAGGGTAGAGCCATGTGTATGTTGTCTATTTCATCATTATCAGAAGCGGTGGGGTAGCCTAGTTTTTAAAGCGTTGGCTCGTCACGCCGAAGACCCGGGTTCGATTCCCCACATGGGTACAATGTGTGAAGCCCATTTCTGGTGTTCGCCGCCGTGATATTGCTGGAATATTGCTAAAAGCGGCGTAAAACCATACTCACTCACTCACGAGTCTGAACCAGGAGTATCGAGTACGTATAATAAGGACCAACACTAGGTACTGGCATTGAGCACGTGCAATAAGAACTAGAACGAACACATTGGCAACGGATACGTATAATTAGGACCAGCACGTAGACATTGGCAACGGATACGTATAATAAGGACTAACGCCAGACTCTGCATTGAGCACGTGCAACAAGGAGTAGCGGCTACACGCCGGCATCGAACACGAATACTAAGGAGTAGCACCTGGACATGTACAAATATAAAGTAAATAAATATAATAAAGTGACTTCTCACCCCTTGGTCGCCGTCAGGAATGTGATACGTGATCACTACGGTGTCGTATTTACTGTAGCCAGGCAAGCGATCATCCACCAGACCCACCTCCATCGTCCCTTCTGGCTGATTCCCGATGATGACTCCGTACACCATGTCACAAGTGGGACACACAGGCTTGTAACTAGCGAAATGTTTGTCTATACACCTCCTACAGAATACATGTCCACATTTAGCCAACGTTTTCGGGTGCTTCATCACACGTGAACATATAGGACAGTCTACACCCTGATTCTCTGTCTTACCCTCCTCTTCATCAGAACTCCAGGAACTTCTGTTTTGGCTCGACAGGGGATTAGCTTCGGGGGTGAGACTATGACCCTTACCCACTGTCCAGTCTGGAAAGTCGGTCTCGGTGCTGATCTTGATAGCAGGCACGATTTCTTTGGTTTTGTTCATCTCATGTTGAGCTCGGAGCAGCTCGAGGGCCTCTTCCTCCACCTTTGCTGCCAGCGACTGTGACCTCTTCCTTGTCCTTCCCAGCTCGCTGGACTTCGTCCTCCTCGGGGTGTCCGGGTCGTCCACTTTCAACTGGTCAGTCTTAACAGGCAACACTGGTTTGGGTTCCGCAGGTTTCTTTGCTTGTCTAACCTGAGACGGTTTGGTTGTGGGCAGTGGAATATATGTCGGTTTGTATGTAGGTTTAGTTGCAACCTTCACGGATTTCGTCACAGCTTGTTCTTTCCGTGGTGTTTCTAAAGATGGTTTATTCTCCTTACCAGGTCCTATAACCTTCTCTCTGACATCCTCTGCTGACTTGAGTAGAGGGCCGCCTTCATACTTCATGTTCATGTTATAAGTCTTCCCATCGACACTGACTCTCGTCCCCTTCATCGACGGACGGACCACGGGTTTATCGCTTCGATGATCCTCATCAGATGATGCTGGGGAATATCTTGACTTCTTCGGTTTCCGGAATGCACCACCAGTCTCGCTGGTGTCATCAGCTGTAAAGTCATAGGCATCAAATGTATCAAGATAACTTCTTCCAAAATGTATCTTCGGTGGATTATAATCCTCTAACTGGGAATCATGCCCATTTGAAGTTGCTCGTTGTTTGGGACTATTATTTGTGTTCTTTTCCCTGGTTCCTGATTGCTTGTTAGATCTGTGATTTCCTTTATTTTCTCTGGTTACTGTTTGGTTTTCTCTATTGTGTCTACTCCTGGACCACTCGTGATCGTCAGAACCAGTACTGTCTATAGAAGACCCAGAGCCTCTTCTGGTACCACGCCGGATTCCACCACGTCGGAACTTGGACTTTTTATGCTTTGACTTGGATCTGGGTTTCTCGTCCTCATCCTCATCCAGTTTGAAGGACACCGTTCTCTTGGTCTTGTCGCTCTGAGGCCGCCCACTGAACTCGAACTCACAAAGAGCAGCAATCTGATCCACCAGCTGCTCGTCCATGGACACAAACAACACGTCAGTCAGTGTCTTCGGTTTGAAGGTCGCTACAGAGGTCACAGCAACTTGCACAGCGAACTCGAGATTAGACACACCTGAGTGTAGAAATGCATGAATAACGTCAGCAAAAGAAACGTATTGCAACTGCCCTGAATGCATCAAATAATGTGAAATTACTAGACAAGTTAAAGGACAACACAATAACAAGTCAGGGACGCAATAATAATATGGACAGATCGCTCGAGGAAATGTTTGTTCATTTGTTTTGTTTTGTTTTTGTTTTTGTAAAAATAATACTCGCCACTTGCAACTAAAGGACTCAGAACTGTTATACAGTGTGCAAATGCACAATGGGGTGGATTTCAGACTACAAATATACTACCAAACTGTTCATGCGAATTATGAGACTTAATACTCATTTACTCATTCATCACCGATCCCTAAATCCAGCATTCCTAAATAACTGGGAAATCATTTCTTGCGTATTTACAATAGGATTTAATGGTGTATAAAACTGGAATCAGCAATACACGAGCCATATCGCATCGGTCTGCAAATAGTGAAGTCTGGGCCAGCATACCCATCATACCTACCTCCGGGTAGCATACCCATCATACCCAACTCCGGGTAACATACCTAGCATACCCATCTTCGGGTAACATATCCATCATACCCACCTCCGGGTTACATACCCAGCATACCGGCCTCCGGGTTACATACCCAGCATGCCCACCTCCGAGTAATATACCTAGCATACCCACCTTCGGGTTACATACCCAGCATACCGACCTCCGGGTAACATACCCATCACGCCCACCTCCGGGTAACATACCCATCATATCTACCTCCGGGTACCATGCCCATCATACCCACCTCTGGGTAACATACCCATCACGCCCACCTCCGGGTAACATACCCATCATACCCATCTCCGGGTAACATACCCATCATATATACCTCCGAGTAACATCATACCCATCAAACCCACCTCCGGGTAACATACCCATCAAACCCACCTCCGGGTAATATACCCATCATACCCACCTCCGCCCAGCAGCGGCAGCGCCAACACCATGATGTCGTTCTTCTCCGCCTCCCGGAACAACGTCTCGTACAGTTTCTTCATGTTGATGACCCAGTGTTTGGTCTGACTTGGCGTGCAGGCGGACAGGAAGGCGTGGAACACGACCTGGTCTTTAGCCCGATTGGTCAGCACGTTCCAGAGGGGGAAGGTCAGGTGCTTCTTCTTCATGTCCTCTCTGTCGATCTCGAACAGCGGGTCCAGTTTGATGAGAGCCTTCGTGACGAAGCTCTCGTGCTTCATCAACTTGTCTTCTTGTGTCACAATGGCGTCGGCCACAGCGTCAGTGATGTCACCCACATACGTCGTCACGTGAAGACCAAACGGGGACTTGAATTGAAATTTGGGAATTTTCGTCTCCGAGTTTGCCATTACACCTGAAATAAGGGGAGCAAAAGTTGTTAAACGCTCTACAATGACAATGTTCATTTGTACTAGCGGTCTGTATATACTCGAGGCTAGTGACTGAAAGAATGAAAAACGACCTTCAACATACGATGCCATGCAATCAGCCAGATATCCAGCCATAACCGCCAACTTTAAGTTCATATTTAAAATCTCGAGAAATATTCTTGCCCGAAGCCCCGACAGGATTCTGAAATCAAAACAGGACTGTCCAGCCGGTGATATACTGGACCCAGTCTACAGGTTCGGCTTCTTGTACAGTGCGGGGCCGTGGTTAGCCTAATGGTTAAAGCGTCCGCTCGTCACGCCAAAGACCCGGGTTCGATTCCCCAGATGGGTACAATGTTTGAAGGCCATTTCTGGTGTCCCCCGTCGTGATATTGCTAAAAGCGGCGTAAAACCACACTCACTCACTCTTGTACAGTGCCGATTGACTACGAGTGAGTGAGTCGGTTTTCTCCCGCTTTTCTCATGTAAAAGTGGGATACAAATCTAAACAGAGTGCACCAAAGTCGTGAATCGAACAGGTAGGTAAGCACAGGGCTACCACCTCGTCCAGTTGATGATGCCGCTTAAAGCACCATTTACTCACTCGCTCGTCCAACTGAGAGGAATACCCACCTTCATATAGATCGTCTATGGTTGCGCATACATGCTACATCATCTCCAAAACCACCCCGTGCACTATGTGTTGGTCAGTCCCAATATTAGTCTCTGCTGGCTACCACGCGTGTATATAGAAACCCGACATACTTTATACCGGTAGCGACATGTTAGTTTCAGATTGAATTGTCAACTCGATGCGTATTTAGCATAGATATCAAATCTTAATATGATGATCAACACAAATAGGAATCTAAACATGCTGAATACCACATGGTACTAGGGGCGGGTATTCATTCGCCTGGATATAAGATGTGTAACATGTCCTCAAACTCAGTCAAACTTTTATCACCCATCTCGAATTAATATTATTTGGTTATCTCTCAGGGATTGTGTACATAATCATACCTAAAAGTACATATTCCATACGACTGTTCATTTCTTTTCATGTGCGATATAGGCACTGAGTGTTCCCGTGTATCACATAACAAAATACAAATGGAACAGCTCTCTCTCTCTCTCTGTGATTACTTTGAAAACTAAGACCTAAAAAAATGACTTTTCATCATGCGATTTCTTTTGAAAACCAAAATCGGATTAAAGAGATTATTTCCAGTTTTAAGCTATTCACGATCACGTACTTACACTGTACATGAATATTGAGTCCACTCCCAGCGCTGTCAACTACAACGAGTGAACGAGCTATTTACGTGTACTGTATGTACAGAACTGGTATAGAACACAAAGGCTGCACGGGCCACCAGAAGACTTCTCAATACGCTGCCATTCCCTACTTACGGGACTGAGAAATCAATACCAAGTTGATATCGAATATTGACTCTATTGAAATGTTGTTGACATTTGTAGAGGCCCTGTATGGGTTGATACGATGAGTCGACTTTGCCTAGCGGCTTTCTATGCCTGATTTCAATGCAATTCATAAGCGGTCTCCTATCTTGTTTGTTCAGCAGTCAAAAGCGGTTATCATCGCCAACTGCCGTTCACGTGTATACCACAGTATTGTGTTACTTGTGTTCCGTGACTGCCGTCTTGATTGCCAATATATGCAGTTTTACTGCTGGATAAATTTACGTTCGGTAATACAGGTGAATTAACGCCTTGTGTTTTCGGCATGGTATTGCGTGTCTATACATCTACCGACATGTTGCTGATACTGCGCTCACATGGGAACATGCACCAGTGCTATTGTTATTTAATTTGCTTCTTCGACACGATAACCTTTTTTCATCATTATTTACATTACTAGGGGCGTTGTCTGTATGTTTGCATTCTAATGATATTCCAATTCAACAAACATAGCGAAGTTGCCCGATTCTCTGAAAGAAGGTGTTCTAGTTTGTGGCACGACGACAGACTCCAGGTAATGTAAAGGTCTCACGAGGGACACCGGTTCTGTTCCACCAAGCGGACGCCAGAGCACCACAATCGGCACATCAAGCATAAATGCATGTACATGTATATACGATTGTCGTTACGCTGTTGTCGCTTTACTGAATGAATTCTTTCGGTTCAGTTGTACAAAGCTTTCTTAGTTCGACAACTATTCGTAGTCAGTCAATAGCTCGGATGTGTGGCATCAAATTCCAGTCTAGTTAAACACGTTGAAATTGGTGACGTGAAGAACTTAACATTGTCAGTGGTTAGAGCGTCCGCCCGGAGAGCGGAAGGTCGCGGGTTCGATCCCCGGCCGCGTCATACCAAAAGACGTTAAAATATGGTACTTGTTGGTCCCTGCCTGGCGCTCGGCATTAATGGGTACAACAAGGACTGGTCGGCTCGGAGTCAGTACAATGTGTCTGAGTGGGGTATTCATGCTTCACTGCGGCATGGTATCTCAGTGGGCTAGCACTATAAAACCTGCTTCAGTCTGGGCTAGTACAAGCAGCCGCACATACACATACACACGCATGCACGTCGTCATATGAGCGAAATATTCTCAAGCACGACGTTAAACCCAATTCCACCACCACCACCACCATAAGTTGGAAGACACATATACCCCAAACGGACCCCTTTCATTTCCGGTAGGTCGCACATCGGTGAAAACAGTGACAAGTCGATGTGCACCATTCTGAGACGGTATGAATAGGGTATTGAGCACCACTATAACATTCCTCATAGGGTGGAAATAGAGTTCAAATACATAGCAAGTAGAGAGAGGCGTTGCTGTCAACACTGACTTCATTTTTAAGGAAGTGGCATCAAATATTGTGGACCATGGCAACTTGTATTTGACGAAAAAATACACAAAACTAATAAGTATCCAGTCTTTAAAGTTGTTCACTTTGTGAATTCCATATATTCACTTAGCATCAAGACATATGGGTAATTATATAGTCATTGTGAACATATCTGTTTAGGGTATGTACTTACGTATCAAAGCGAACCGTGCGTCACATCAGTAGTAGATAAACCCGGGGGGTTCCGAACACCGCGAATATCCAACCTAGCGCAGTCATGTGGCCATGGCTAAACAGTGGCCCGGAAGCAAACAAATGATCACGTGACACATATAAGTCTGAGTCTAAGAAGCGGTTCCTAACTGTTGTTCCATTGACCTGTATGTTAACACCAGCACATGCCTGATTAAGTCTGTTTAGGATTTCAAAAGACTTTATATCAAGGTATGTTCCGCGTGTGAATAACCATGATTTATTTCAAACTGAAACAGCCAAATGGTCTAGTATTAACTTCCAGGGTGCCATTGTACAAAGCGATCTTTGCTCTAAGGTGACCGTAACTCCCATACCTTAACACAGACTTAAGGTAGTCTTAGGTTGTTTTGTACAATAGCACTCAATCGGTTCGAATAAAAGTCAGATTTTTCATTCAATATTTAAAGATCTTAGTCCAACACTTTCCTCCACTTGAAGACGGAAACGGTTATGGATTTCTAAATCAACACCGCCAGAGACAGCTTGGAGATATTTTGTAAAGTATTTTAGAAATACCCCACATGTAAGCTTAATTTTGGGAGGAAAGGACAAGATGAGAGGATAATACGTAGGTATGAGGGTAAATCACAAAGTTCGTGGCAACAATGATATTGCTTTGAGTAGTGAGGTTTCGAAGTTAAAAACATCATTTCCTGGAAGATATAACAAACCCGAGAAGATCCGGGCTCGAACCTGTCTTCTGCAACCCATGCCTGTCGTTAGAAGCGACTAACGGGATCGGGTGGGCAGTGCTGGCTTATTTGATTGATGCATCTCAATTGCGTAGATCGATGATCGAGATGTCAATCATTAAAAATTGTCTGGTCAAGACATACCGCCGTCATATAGCTGGTACATTGCTCCATGCGACGTTAAAAAACATGACAAGATGACAGGCTGATTACCGCCTCTGTTATCAATAACTTACAAAGTGATACAAACTACGGCCATTAAGCTGTCATGGTATGTGCACGTAAAGGGTTGGCACAGAACGATCCACACGAATTAGACGCTTGGTTGGCATTTCAGAAGACGCTATTTTATGAACATAAATAATTTTCTTGATTTCATCTTCTTTTTATTTTTATTCAGAGCTTTTTCTGGCCCTATCATCATGTAAAACTAATTTGACAATTGACCTACAAGAGGGTGATATCAGTTGGCAAAGTCATGACTTCTGTTTTCAGGGACTGTTGGCAAGCATATCAGTGGGCAATACAATGCTACAGAAACACGTCGGTTGAGGTTAGAGGAAAAGCGTCCAGAAAAGATTTGTTACGGTGTGTCTGCTACCTGACAACAGGTACTTGTGTACACACGTGGCAGTGGCTGCAGCTGTAGAATGTGGCTTTCGATTACCGTATTTCCTCTAATAAGCGCCGTAGAGCTTTTTTAATAAATGTATTGTCCCCTGATCCAAAAATAGATTTATTAAAGGTCACATGCAACGTAAAACACAACTTTGCAGATTCTGATACCTTTCGGTATGGACTTACCGAAACAAAGCGTCAAAAATGCAAATTCAACTTATAAAGTTGAAAAATAACGCGATGAAAAAAAACGCGCGAAATCGGAGTTCAAACGTTTCACTAATTTTCCCCAGACTTTTCTGGGGAAAACGGGTTTCAACAGCTGGGCTGCGCTCATAGCACGTGCGCAAGTAAATAGGTTCGCGCAGCTTGGAAGCGGGTTGTCGGGTGAATACTCGGTGAAGGCTTTGGTGTGAGAGCTATTTTCTAATGTTTTGTTTTGTTGATATCTCACAGGCGCGAGCTTTTTATATGTTATGACAGTAAATTAACTGTTTATATAATTTCATTTGTCTATTTCACCACACGTTCTTCTTACTGAGACACTTTCTCAGTTCGATACTTAAAAGCAATGTCATTATTTAGCGTTGACAGAATT